AGGCGCCCAGGCTCGGAATGGCTTGACAACAGGTGCCAGGTGGCATTCAGCAGCGTCATTCGATGTGATGAAGGAGGGTGGGTGCTGATCGAGGATTTGGTGAGGCATGAGCAACTATGGACCCATGACAGCAGACGCATCACAGAAGCGGTCTCAAGGACCGATGAGCAACAGAGGAAGAGAGTGTACAATGAAAGACTTCAGCTATTGTTCCAAGGGAACATGCTCGCAGCCACGAGACGCCACAAGGCCAAGATTCGGCTGCAGTTCCTGGGAGTGAGAGTGAAGGACCCCGGCGTGGAAACTCTTGGATCCGCAGGTTCGAACATGTTGGTATCGATTCCTGACGAGATCACAGAGATCCAGAACAATGACCGTTGCCGGCACAGCCAGAGGTACCTGAACGTTTGCAACGGCTGGGTGAAGCCATGGGCAGTTCGGGCTACGAGTGGTCACTCTGCGCACTCAGATCCCCAGAACAATTTGCTTCAGTTGGACAAGAACAGGTTCGCAATATCTCCATCTATGACCCTCTTGCAACGTCTTGGAGGCGCGTTCCACGCTACGGCATGCCGCAACCTGGATTCCATTGTCACGCAAGGCATCATGCCTGGTTCGGAGGACCCCGACGGGGACTTCGACCATAGGCGCCAATTTCGAGGCAACCAAGGCGGCAGACTCCACAGCTATTGGGGGGTATTTGCACCGTTCGATCACCGGAATGCGACGACCAAGATGCGGGTACATGGACGAGATGCCAAGCACATGCCGCTGGCGGTCCTCCATGTCCCATCGCAGGACCTTGCACGAGAAGATGGACGTATCACAGACAGCGGCATCATGATCGTTGGCCGAACGATACCGTTCCAGTTCGTCAAGGAGGTATGGTTTTGCGTCCCGAACCCTCAAGATACACACTCTTTCGCTCTGGTGGAAAAGATCTACGATGAACGGTTGGAGAAAGAGATGGTGTTGGACTACAATGCATCACCTTTGCTCCCTGAGTTCGAGAGATACCGAACACCAAGCAAGATCATGGAATTGCTTTGCGAGATGCCTCCTGGACCCCACGACACCAGCAAGGAGCAGATCATTCGAGACCTTACGACTGTCCTGGAGTCCCACAGGGAGAACACGGTTCGGCATCACTACATGGACAAAGGGATCAAGTTTGTCATCAAGAATTGGCGACCCGAAGACCTACGCAGAGACGAGGATGGAAGGAGAATGAGGGTGTGCCCGGCATGCTACAACATCGTTCCAGCATGCTTCTCCCGATGCACGTCTTGCTGGTCACAATTCGTTTCTAGCGGATATTACCAAGGTTCTCCACAACGGGAGACTCCTACGGAGATCCCCAGTGACTTCATTGCTCAGACAATGGAAGCCGCGGCAGCAGCAGTGCCTGAGGCGCCCGAAGAGGAGCAGGAAGCCATGGAGGTAGAGACCGTTGCGGAACCTGAGGAAATCCCAGAACCATCTGTCATCGCGGAGGACGATCCAGAACAGGAACCTGATGAAGAAATGGACACAGAGCCAGGAGAGGACTTTGATGACGCAGTACCAGATGCAGTTGCACAGGAACGACGTCCCGTCCTCATCGCCGGCCAGTCTTTGAACATCGATCCTGAACTACAACTCGCACGTACCGCCATGCAGCCATCCTACTACTCAGGGAAGCGAAATGCCCATTGCATTGACACCAACATGGTCGCTCTTTCGTATATGGCATTCGTGGTATGCAGAACCATCTACAAGGCTTGGTCAGGATTCGCGAAGTGGGCTACTATGCCGTTGTTCCAGATGAAGGAGAATTTCGCACTTGGCCAACGCTATGATGTGCTCGGAAAGTGGGGATCTTTGGCTGTAGTGGACAGAGAGACGGGTGTGAGCAGGGATGTGACTGACGAGGAGATCATTCGCTTTGCCAAGGAGCCTGAGAACCTCAAGCAGTACGATCCCAACGGGACTTACACTTTGAAGCGCTTCCGGACGAATCAGATGCTTTCGTTGCTTACACGGGGAGCCAACATGATGGGAATTGGCAGGGACAACTTCAACCCTACTACGTACTTGAAGAGCAACAGGGATGAAGATGTGAAGGCTATGCACTTCTGTTGCCTGAACGTCCTGTGCGAGGTGATTCCGATGGTGACAGGACACCAACAATTCTCAGTGCTACGACCAACGCCAACTGGACCGGTGGACTTCCTGTACATCGACCCCGTCGGTATCCTGCTGACTCATGCCGATCATTCAGTCCAGACCATTGGATTGCTGGTGGACCACAATGTGCAAATGCCTGCGCATTTCATGGACAGATTGGTCAGATCCAAGGCTGAGAGACAGCAAAACCCGACAACCAAACGTACTGAAGCCCTACATCACATTTCGGCCGCTGACTATCTCCCTCCAGGTGGTACTTCCATCCTGGACACGCCTGTCACTACGGAGGAACGTGCAAGCGCTTCTTCGGCCAAGGGACCTTCAAAAGGGCGTGAGAGAACCGGAGGTGAACAGCATGGAGGCTGGAACGCCAACACCTACTATGACTACACCGCCGGCAAAGGCCGAAACAAAGGCAAGGACAAAGGAAAGCAAAGGGAACAGTATCCAGAGGAAAACCTCCGGCCCTGGGACCGCGATCCTGCGACCACGCGAAGATGGAGATGAATCAACGCTTGGTCTGCCTCGCCTTTCAGTTCGTGACCTCTGAGCTTCGCCCATGGAATGCCATCGCGAATGCTTCTTTCTTCGGTGACGCCTGATTCGTTTGCCATTTCAGGGGATCGTTACTGACGTAGATGAGTGTCACAACGTTTCTAATTGGGATGCAAAGCTCTGATTTTCAATGTCAACGTTGCGGCGGAACATTTTCTGTTGTCCTATCGTGCCATCTTCCGGGTGAGCAGCGTCGGAGACGCAACTCATGGGGGGTGCGAACGGACTGCGATGCCTTGTCAAGTTCTAAGGTGTCACTATAAGAGCTGTGAGCAAGACCGTGTAAAGTGCAAGAGAAGGGGGCACGCTACGCGTCCCTCGACTCTAAGGGGGCACGCTACGCGTCCCTCGTCTTTACCTTTCTATGTGACCGCCCACGCAACGTTTGGCTCAAGTCAATGCCCATAGCTAAGTGCTATATGTGTCTTCTATCCTGAGCAATCAGAGCTATCCCGTTGCACAGACGAACCGCCGCCGGCAGTGAGTGCAAAAGGAACGGCCGCCGGTTCTGCCTGCATAGGATTGCACGTGTGGAAGTGTGAGAGAGACAGGGTCCAGTCTGTGGAGAGTGCAAGCCAGCCACACCTATATTCATTACAGCTCTGGTGGGGGAGCAGCAGCATAATCGAGATCAAATCCCCACGCAGTATTAGTCTTCACATCAATATGAATATGACTATTGGTATTCGTAGGAGTATTAATGTTAATATTCGTATTAGGATCATCCATAGTCGTATTAGCCTTAGTATAAGTGTTAATAATGGTATTAATACTGGCATTATTTTGAATATTCAACAAGTTATCAATGTCAGTATTAGTATTGGTGACAGCATTACTGTTAACAGCATAAGAGTATACGCAGTAGTATCCGTAGGAGTATCAATACTTATGTAAATCTTGGCGTTGGTATAAACATTGTGATTGGTATTAGTAATAGTGCTAGTGCTAATATTAAAATGAGGTTATGTATTCGCATGAATGTTTGTCTTATATTAGTATTACTCCTGATTACATGAAAATATTAACAGATAGATACATGCACGAGCTAATGTACTTGTACTTTAATATAGTGGTATGTATATTTATGTACATTGGTATATGCAGGTGTGTATTAGTAGTGGTATTAAAATACAGTACTACCAATACGGGCATAATTATTGATATGCGAAGGAGTATGAACGTCAGTATTAATCATTATTAGTATTTGTATGGTGCCTGTTCGTATTGGTGTAAATAAAGTGTAAATATTAGTGTTAATGCTGGTATTAGGTTGGGCAGTCAGCAAATGATCCATATCAGTATTAGTATTGGTAATAGTGTTCGTAGGAGTACCACTTTAGAAAAAGTATATATATATATATATATAAACACTGATAATCGTCTAAACAGACCTTGCCTTTGCAAGTGAGTCATAGTGCATGGTCTGTCATCCGATGGGTCACAATCAGCCCATTGAAAATCAATTCCAGAAGTTCCGAAATTTCCGAAATTTCCAAAAGTTCCAAAATTTCCTAAATTTCCAAAATTTCCAAAACGGCCCGACCTAGTCGACAGGATTTTTCCAAAACATAAGGGCGGACTTTTTGGAAATTTCGGAAATTTTGGAATCCGAAATTTCCAAAATTTCCAAAACGGCCCGACCTAGTCGACAGGATTTTTTCAAAACATAAGGGCGGACTTTTTGGAAATTTTATAAAATTAGGGGAGAGAATTTTGGAAGTTTTGGAATTGAGTTTTTGAAAGCTGAGTGCCCCCTCCCCCGATCACAGACCATGCGCTACGACTGAGTTGAAAGGGCATGGTCTGTCAACGGGGGGGGTGACCATACATATATACATAGACTTTATACTTCGTAACTTTGTAGGGAATTACAACGCTAGTAATTCAAGACGGAGACAAACCCTGTTTGCCGGGCAAGCTGAACTTGACAGCCGTTCGGATCGGGCCCCTCTGCTTGGGGACCCTTAAACCCTAAATCCTCTGTAAACCCTCTTGCTCTACATCTCACTAGGGTTTAGGATTTATAGGGTTTAGGCGGTTTAGGGTCCTAAGCCCCAAACCCTAAACCGCAATTTCGCGCGAGGGATCTCAGGCCCGTCTGCGGCCCCTTTCCAGGTTCAGGGTTCCCTTGTGCCTATACCACACCCTTGTAGTAATCCTTACTGCAACTCCAGTAACCACGTTTTAAGCAGAGCCCTTCGTGAAACAGCAACTCTTATAGAACCACCCTGCAACATCGCCGTAGAGCAGGGAAGCCGTTCCAGGAGTCGCGAACATCCATGTTCTTCACCCGGCTGCTGCACGAATTTCTCTTCGCCCCTCGACGCCGAGAAGTGGGGTTGATCGGGTTCCCGGAGGCTTGATGATACTTTGTGTGTGCAGGAGCTGATCCTTAGCCCGGTTTCCATCAAATCCGTAAACTCCTGAATGTATATAGCCCATCTTATCACTCTAAAACCGTCTAAAAATCCCAGTCCCAGGCCCAACAGCCCTGGGGAGCCGGGAGTTTCGTGCCGAGCACGGACATCCGCTTGCAGCCTGCCGCCCTCCACTGCAGTCGCCTCGCCTTCCGGCACCAAGGGTACCGGCTCAGGGGTTTAAAAATAGGGGCTTAAATAATTACTATTTTGGGGGGTTCCTTATATATAATTATAGGCTATAGGGGCCTGATAAATGATTACCAATACTATTTGGGGAGGGTTCCTTATTATGATTATATATAGCATGAGGGGCCCCAAAACCCTATTCTAACAATTCAGGCCCCTACATTAGGAGCGTATAAGGCCTCGGGGTTTAGGGGTTTTTGGGGTGCAGGGTTAGGGTGTTGACGGGGCAGCTGGTGCTTCGTTTCTGCGCTGAGGCCCAAGAGACGGGCTTCAAAAAGGCTTCAGGGTTCAGGGTTGAGTGTTTAGGGGCATCGTGGTAGGCTAGACCCTAAAAACATGAACCCCAAACCCTAAAACGCTTAGGCAGGAAAGATCACGCAGAAGAATCAGGTGTCACGGTCACCATGTTTTCGCCTTGTGAGGGTTTACCTACAGTTACAGTCTCCATTGCAATTCCTTTTTTTGTTGAGCCGTTCAGCCATGTTTATGTTTAGGGCTCTGTAAGGTAGCCATAATATAGCGAAGCCAGCCACGAATGACAACGGTAGGAGCAGTCGCTGTCGTGGGCAAGACCACCCCCACCACCGTCACAGTCATCACGATTCACGATCCTCATAGTTCCAGTTTCCGAAGCATGAGACCCGACCTCAGGCCGCAAGCAGTAGGATCCTCAATGTAAGGGATCCCCTCCTAGTGGGAGCCGTGGGGGTAAATTCTTGTCCCGAGTTCCTCTAGAAGCTGAAAGGGCTGTGTCGCTGTTGCATGGGTTAGAGCACAAGCCTGAGTTATCAGCTATTCCTTCTTTTCCATCTTGTTTTAAATAGACCCCACAACCCTATCCTAAGTTCTGTATTGTCCAGGGATTCAATAAAGCTCTGTGGATAAGTTCGGGTTCCGTGTAGGTAGCATCTCACAGGGCGGAACTGTTTGGGTGTGGGGCTATCGGGGATTAGGCTTGCTGCTACTTATGCATACACACGATCGTTAAGTCTGAAATCCTTTGAGCCCGGAACTGGCGTCACCGAGCACGGGAGACGCTCACACAAGGGCAGACACTAGCCAGATCAGTTCTTGGTTTGTTTTCGTGTTTGTGTGTGTATTCATATATGTGGAATATATATATATATATATATATATATATATATATATATATATATACATACATACATACACATACGCACACACACAATCAATCAATATGTATATATATATATATATATATATATATATATACCTATATATATATATATATATATATATATATATATATTGCTCACCCCCCCCCCCCCATGACAGACCACGGGTCTAAAAAACACCGCGCACGACGATATTCTATGAAGCAAAACCGTTACATGAGGTATATCGTATAGCACCAGACGTGCGGCACATGAGTTACGTAATAGTCTTGTGGTAGTATCGGTATTAGGGTGAGTATTATTATTAATATTAGTACTATTGTTTGTTGTAAGTATACGTATCAATATTGCCAACTATAAATTAGTGTTAGTGCTCATGTTCGTGTTAGAGTTAGCGCTAGTGCCAGTGTCAATGTCAGTAATACAGCACCACTGCTACGAGTAGTATCAGTATCAGTCTTAATGCTGGGTTTAACAGCAGCTTATATTCGCAGAAGTGCTAGTATTAGTATCAATATTAGAACTAGTTAGTTTTGATATGTTAGTATATTGATAGTCTCGTATATTAGCAGATTAGTATATCAATACATCAATGTATTCGAACAGTAAAATATTTGCATACTTGTATACTAGTATATTTTACATGTTGGTACAACTGGTGCATGAATACACTACACTGCTGTATCAGCTTAATAGTATATTGACATACCAGTATATTCGTACGTTAGCATATTAGTGTACGAGTATGTGTACTATATTACTGTTTTATCTAATCATTTATAAGTATATCAGTATGTTGGCATATTAGTATACGAACTTGTCATGTCGGTATTCTTGCATAGTGCAGTAGCCGTATATGACTATACTCACACATATTCGTATAGTATATTCGTACAACAACGAGAAGTATATTGATACATTGGTATATGGGTATATGCCTATGCCAAAGCATTAATACATGAATGCACTGATGTATATATCTGTATCTTAAGATAGTGGTATGTATTTTATGTACATTAGTATATGCAGGTGTCTATTAGTAATGATATTAGTTTTCATATCAATATGAATATACTATTGGTATTCGTAGGAGTATTAATGTCAATATTATTAGAAATAGGACTATTTATACTCGTAATAGCCATAATATGAGTGTTCATGCTGGTACTAGTGGCATTCTTGAATATTCAGCAGATTATCAAAGTCCGTATTAGTGTTGGTGGTAGCACTACTGTTAACGCACAAGAGTTTACGTATTCGTATTCGTAGGAGTATCATTTGCTATGTAAATATTGATGTTCGTATAAATTTTGTGTTAAGTATTAGCAGTAGTGTTAGCGTTAGTACTATAATATTATTGATGATATACATTCGAAAGAATGTTTGTATTATTATTACTCTTGATCACGTGAAATTCTAACAGTTGAATACATGAGTGAGTTAAAGGATTTGTATTTTAATATGGTGGTATGCATGTTTATGTACATTAGTACATACAGGTGTGTGTTAGTATTGGTATTAATATACATTATTATGAATATGAATATGGTTATTGATATGCGTAGGAGTACTAAGAGCAATACTAATCAATCTTAGTATTTGTGTTATGCATATTCGTACTGAGCTTTATAGAAGTGTAATACTAGTAGTAATGCTGGTATTAGCTTGAGCATTCAACAAATTATCAATGTCAGTCTTTTCAATGGCAATACTATATGTAGGAGTATCAATACATATATGTATATATAGATAGACAGATAGATAGAGAGATATTCGTTTAAATATGGGCATGGGTATTGACAGCCCTTGCCTTTGCAAGTAAGTCGTGCATGGTCTGTCATCGTCATTTTTGGCTCCGAAAGTGACACTAGTTCTGGTCCGATGCGGAGACTAGCACGATAAGGCGCGCGGGTGTCCTACCAAGAAAGGAATTACAGAGCACACGTGTATGGATGAGGGTTGTGCTGATACACTACATAGTAAGCACTACACAGTAATCTTACTTGAGTCATATATAGAACAGATTCCAGCATTTCCAAAATTTCCAAAATTTCCAAAATCTCTCCCCTAATTTCCTTTCCAAAATTTCCAAAATTTCCGAAATTTCCAAAATTTCCAAAATTTCCAAAATTTCCAAAATTTCCAAAATTTCCCGACCTAGTCGACAGGATTTTTCCAAAACATAAGGGCGGACTTTTTGGAAATTTTGGAAATTTCGGAAATTTTGGAAATTTTGGAAATTTTGGAAATCCGGAAAGTTAGGGGAGAGAATTTTGGAAATTTTGGAATTAGTCTTTGAAAGTTGAGTGCCCCCTCCCTCCGATCACAGACCATGCGCTACGACTGAGTCGAAAGGTCATGGTCTGTCATGGGGGGGGGGGGGGGTGACCATATATTTATATATACATATATATATATATATGTATATATATATATACATATATATACATATATATATATATATATATATATATATATAATATGCGCACACACACACAGACGCGGCTGTATGGGATAAAGCATTGGCTGCTCATGTTCGGGATTCCATCGGCCGCAGAATAGACCTGACCTTCTGACAGCGAAGGTGATGCTCCATGTCTTAGCGAACCCCTGCACCCTGGCTGCTATCGTCATGGCATATTCTGATATATGTGGGTGTGTCACAGGCATACGATGACATCTTCTGGTAATTATACAGAACGGTTTCCGATTGTCCCAAGGCGTGCAAGGAGGGATCAGGAGTCAGGAGGTCGGTGGGGAGTGGACTATGCCCCATAGCTCGACTCTTTTGAGGTTCTTGGAGCTTCCGGCCGACCGCCGATTGGCAGGGAAGACCCAGAAGAGCAATAAAGACAAGATAGAAGGAAGCCTCATGGGTTTAGGGTTCGTTTCAGATGAGCAATATAGGTCCTGGAAGCCAGTTCTGCAAACCTTCAGCCCTAAAGCCTGAACATGTCGCTGTCGTTGTCCTCGTTGTTGTTGGTGTTGTGCTGGTGCTGCTGCTTAGGGTTTAGGGTTGCTGCTGCGGTTACTTCTGTTTTTGTCGCAGTTGTTGGCGGTTCGAGCTCGCTTTTGCTGTTGGACTGCATTTATCCCCCGAGACCCCCAGAGTCACACACACACACCCACACACCCACACACCCACACACCCACACACCCACACACCCACACACCCACATGCACACACGCACACACGCACACACGCACACACTCACACACGCACACACGCACACACGCACACACGCACACACGCACACACGCACACACGCGCACACGCACACGCACACGCACACGCACACGCACACGCACACCCACGCGCACACCCACGCACACCCCACGCACACACCCACGCACACACCCACGCACACACACACACACACACAACCACACACACACATGTACGTTGCCAATATGTACGACATGGTACTAGTATATGTCATACATTTCATGTTCCTGTTCATGGTGTGTCCGTAGACATGTGGGCGTACTTCTAACTGCACAAAGATCTGCGTGCACCAAAAATACGTAAAATTACACTCACATGTTCTAGGTACATATACATACATACATATATACATATATATATACACACATACACACCTTTAGAAAAGACATACACATGTGTGTAAGATATATGTATATATGCATAAAAAATATTCCCTAATTATACATAATAAATGTCGCACATACATGTTGTGTAGGTGCACCTGTGCATTTCCGTCTATGTTCTCATATGTTGCGATGTCTTCGCAAAGTCTTCAAACGAGATGCGTTAATGGCAGGGGTCTGGGGCTTCGGCTTCCTCACAAGAACACTGAGCCCTGAACTCTTAACCTTAAGCCCTCAAACTTGTGTGTAAAGCGAGCACAGCACGTCCGAGTTCCCCCCCCCCCCCCTGGTAAGACATGACTCTAGCAGCTAGCCATCTATCTTCAGGTTTTCGGCAAGGCTGCGAGGAGACGGCAGACAGGATGATGTGTCTGGGCTTGTTCTTGAGGTTCACAGGGTCACAGGGGCTTGTGGTTCCGTCGAATGTGGTGCAGGGCTACGTACATCATGGAGAGGGGTGTCGGAAACTCTCGATCTTCTTGTGGACAACTTCGTCCGTATGTTGTTTTCATATGTGAGGCACTACAGCTACGGTTTTTTCGTTCAGTGATGTGTAGCACAACATATAGTGGCAGTAGCGCTGCGGAGCATCTCTCATGCTTTTAACTTCGGTGACTCGTCCAGGCCTGCTCCACCCTCAAGCCATTGGAATGCAAAGCCCCCCCCTAATACCCAGCCCATGCCCCCTTCCAAAATCCCGGGGCACTTGCCCCTTCTCCCTCTCTCTAGCGTTCCCGGCACCTGCCTTTCGAGGCAGTTAGCCAGGCGGGTGGCCAACACCCACCCTAAGCCCGAGAGTTCTGAGACCTTCAGGCGAAACAGAAACTCCTTTGAAACCTCTGCAAAACCATATCCTCATTTTTAAGACCCTACAAGCCCCATGACCCTTGAACCCCCGAGACGACATGATAAGCCCTACACCCATAGATATTAAAAGGCAGGTGGTTCTAAACCCGATTGTCAGACCCGTAACGTTTGAACTCGAAACCACCCGAAACCCAAACAAAGACGAAACAGCAGAACAAAGCCGCCGAGCTCGGAAGCTTTGGTGTCACATAGGGAGCCTGTTTTGTCGTTCCGGCCTTTGCGCTTCAGGGTTTGCTGCAGGCCTTAGGCCTACGGGGCTTTGAGTTAAGGGCCGCCACTGCCCGTTGCGAAAAAGATTAAGGGGTTTGGTGTTCTTGGATGAGGGTTTGCGGTTCAGCGTCTTAGCGTTCAGGGTTCGGGGATACGGGGTTGGGGTTCAGGGTTTCCAATAACAGGGCTGGATGATGGCTCCGATTTTGGCCTGGCTTTGGACGATGAAAAAACGGTTTCGACATGGGCAGGGCTTGCAGGGTATATTGTCTGGGTTTGTGATTGGGTTCAGGGTTTAGTCTGCAATAATCCATGATTGTTGATTCATGTTGATTCTATTCTTCTTATACTTAAACTGACTATTTGCTTATGTTAGTACTGTATTGCTATTATTGTTACAGTTCTTTGTGCCATTCTTGTTTCAACCTTGAACCCCAACCCATCGCTTGAGCCAGGTTTGCTGTCGGACGCAATGCGCGTATCACGAGGGAGATGGCCCTGCTCGGCCCTGCTGCAGTTCAAATGGTTGCGGAGCTGCTAATGAAGTTGCAGTCCCAGAAAGAGGTGGGGCTTTCCGCTCCTGGATTTGCTTTCCATGGAGTTTGGCTAATACAGAGCTGATAATAGTGTATATAGGGTGTTCGCAGATGGAAACAGGCCTATATCGTTACTATTGCTACTAGCGCATACACACTACACCAGCATGAGTTTATGAATATGATTACTGCTATTTTCTACGATGAGTATACTACTGAGATTGGGGCCATTATTGTCACGATTACGCCATCAGTCGTGTCATCTATTTATGACTGACGGTTGTTTTTTGTATAACACTTACAAAGCAAAACCTTTCGGATGGTTGTACCTTGTACTCAAAGCCTCAACCCCATAGCCATAACCCGAATCCTCGAACCCCACACCCGCAGCCCTAAACTCCGAATCCTCAGTGTCAGTTTCACTCCTCAGACCTCGAACCAGGAGTGCGAGCGCCGAATCCCCGAATCCTGAAAGCCAAGAACCAACCCTCATGCCTCAACCCTACTATGGCCCTGCTATGCAACCCATGTTGTCCCTTACATTAACGGCAGCCTTAAAGGAACAGAGCCCTCCAAATGAACCCCAGCCGAACGTCGGCAGGTCTGTCTGGAAGCGGTGACCTCCCTAACTCGCTACCTGGCTGCTGAAGAGGATTTCACATGTTGTGTGGAGGTCAGGGCTCGGGGTTCAGAAGCATTTGACAATGCGATGAAGACATCTTGTTTTGGGGTGTTTGGAGGATCGCGTTTCACATGTTATCAGGACGCCAGGCACCCGCGCACACACACTCACACAAGCGCATCTGCTCATGAGAGAGGTAGGGAGGGGGAGACAGGTAAGCAGGCCGGCAGATCTGCTGCATATCTATTTGCTGCATCGCGCATGCATGCAAGCATGCACACATGTATGTATGTAGTATATATATGTGTGTCTGCATGCATGGATGCATGTCGTATGTCTGCAGGCAGGCAGGCAGGCGGGCATGTGTTTGTCTGTCTGTCTGTCTGTGTGTCTGTATGCATGTATGTACGTATGTATGTGTGTGTTTTGCGCTCGCTTGTATGCAGTCTTTCGTTGCATGCTGGGTGCATGTATGATCATGTCTGGATGCATGCATGGCTTTTCCAGCAACAAAAGATAACAGAAAAACTGGATTTCGTAGCAGCTCCTAAAGTCCTAAGGTTTCTGCTTAGAAGTGTAAGGCCAACAAGCTTCTTTTGGTATGTATGTATGTAAACACAGACAGGAAGGGAGCGGTTTATGTGTGGATGGTTTTGACAGTAATCGCAATGGTAGAAAAAGTTCAGCCGCGAGTACTTGTGATTATGAAGACTTTAAGGAATAAGAAGTAGCTAATTGACAGCTTTGGCTAGTGAGCACTTAGGGCCATTGATTTGTTTAACATGAACGTGTCTTCTCCGGTCATGTGACAGGCTTATGGCTCATCCTCCTGCAGCCTTGGAAAGCTCCGCGGCTCTACGACCCCCGGCTTTCGTGAGAAAGAAGGAATCGAAACCCCTTCGTAGGATTAAGGGTCGATAGCTGTGGGGTGTAGAGTTTCAGCGGGTACGAGTCTGAAGACCAATTCAGGATCTTAGGCAAGTCATCGGATTTAGTCAGGTTTTATGATTTCGGAGGTACGGTCAACAACTTTGGAGTGTTTAGACTGCAGGTTTAAGGCGTTCAAGGTTTGCAGGCTTGCGTGAAGCTGACGTTCCAGGGTTTCGAGTTGGGCTTCGAGGAGATCTTGCCAGGGCCTCTCACGGTTTTAGGGTTTGGGGTAGCAGGAAGTCAGGATTTTAGGGTATCACGCTTCGCACGCTCAGCCATGAGTGCCGGCGTGTGGAGCTGGGCTTAAGGGATTCAGGGCTCAGTGCGTTGCCGTCCCTGCTCCAAAAAGGGTTAAGAATGTAGTGGCCTTGATAGTTAGAGTAGGGTTTTGGGGGCTCCTTATTATTATGCCTGTAGTATAATGTGCTCCCAAACCCTTTTGGAATTATCAAGGCTCCTTTTTATTAGAAGACATGCAACAAAGGCGCCACAAATCTGACCACTGTGCGGCACTCATAGAGCGGTGTTGCTTAGGCCTGGAACTGGGTAGCTTGCCCCTGCATGATAGGTACCGAGGTAGCCACAAGGATCTCACACCAAGGCATGCAGCTCTGAAGGGATCATGTGGCGGAATTCGTTCAGACTTCCAACCCCCAAGGAAAAAATTGCCTCCTGCTCTTCGAACTCAGGCGTGGTACCTGACCCTGCGTCCGACGGAACCGCGGTTAGAGCCGCCGCAGCCCAGTACGACGAAGACAACGAGTCTCACCGGCATTAGTCTGGGCTCCAGAACTGTAAAATAGGTTCCTTTACAGGGTTCTTTAAAAGGGATACAAAAAGGGTACAAATATAGTATATTGGGCCCCCAAAAAACCCTATTCTAGTTATTAAGGCCCTCTAGCAATCAACCGACCAGGGAATGCCCAGACAGATCCGCCCCCCTTCACCTGCCCGGGAGTAAGAATGCCTTGGGCTTTGGGGTTCAGGGCTTAACCGAAGTCGTAGGTCCTGAACCCCGGTCCCTCATGTTCATAGCGTTGGGCTCGTAGGGTTTAAGCAAAAAGCCAAGCATTCGAAGGCCCCACCGAAAAAACCTGCTAGACCGATAGGGCCAGGAACGCAACCTTTTGCATCCATATGGTCATATAGTCATAGAACAACTATAGAACCAAACGCCCTGGTGAGAACCTAAAGGCCATGCGTACCAGACCCCATTTCGCCGTATGCATCGAAATTCACTCAAAGGAGGCCTGTTGATGTCGCACTTCTGGGCATGGAGCCGGAGACCACTGGGGAGCCACCGGTGCCGCCACACGGTGCTAATTTGAGTTTTCGCCATAGGCACTACAGGGGCGCATAAACCCCCTGAGCAATACGAGCCAGTTCCCAATTGCCAAAGCACTCCAGATTTCCTGCGGCCGCCAAGGAGTTCGGTGCCTCACTTTTGGAGTTTCGTCAATGAATTACTGTCCCTGAGATCTTGCCTGGCTAGCCGGCTAGCCCGAGAGTGTGTGGGAAGATACTGGGGTCCACAGCATAAAGCGCCCAAAATCGCAATTCATGTTACATGCAATCCCGAATGCAAACAATGCATCTATTGATAGGACACTTCTACTTCGAACGCAGTGTTAAAAAAGCAGTGGCAGCACACGGGGGAGTACGAGTACATGTCAATGTCCCGAAGTAGCGGTAAGAGGAGCAGTTTGGGTTGCAGCAGGCTCGATGGCACCCGCAGCACCATCACGATCCTCGTCACCATCAACTTGGCACCAGTGGTGATCCATCATCTTTCCTATCGTCTTCAGTACCACCAACACAAATGAATAGCGCATCCCTCGTCGTCCTCAGAGTGGGGTAGTCATTCTATTGCCACCATCTTCATCACATCATCGTCGTCCTCAGCCGAGTTCTTGTCTTTACCTTCGAGCGCCGTCTAAGTACCGTTCAACAGTAAGTCCCCTAACCTCAAAACTCGAAAAACCACGAAACTTTACACATCGTTTAAATCCCTCAACTCAACTAATTTCTTGAGACCCCTAAAGCCCTCAAGTTCCTAAACTATCCGTGCCTGGTTTGTGCAAGTGCGCGAGCCGAAAAGTGCTAATATAAGGGGAAAAATAATTACTAAGATTATCGTGGGGGCTCCTTGATATGACTAATAATATAATATAACCACCAAAACCCTATTCTAATTGATTATTCGGGCGCGTATATTAACCTCTCAAGGCTGGTCCCAAAGGAGGCACTGGAGGAGCTACAGAGCTCCGTCAGCGCTGGCACGAGATTTGCGGCTGCCGCGGGGCGACTGGACTGAGCCAACGCAGGGGGCTGTAAGAAGTAGAGTAGGGTTTCTCTCAGGGTGGCTTTGAAGGGTTACGAGCGACATCAGGGCGTGGTTTCGCGGCATGTACCATTGGAATAGGAGATTTGGGGTTCAAAGGATGTTTAGAGGCTTCGGGTTTCATAAGAGATCTACAATGGTCCGTAGGTTTGATATATAGGTTTCCCAGACTTTGATTCAAGAAGGGTATTGTAGCAAGGCCATTTAGTGATGGCAAGCCAGGCAGAGAGCGAGAGAGCGAGGTCGTAGGGGTTGGCGGTTGGCGTCTTAAGGCTTAGAGTTTTAACATGTGGCTTGGTACGAAGGGGATAGCTTGGAGCAGCCTGTCCCTGCTTTCCAGAGGCCAGAGGCTCGACGCCAGCCTAAATCCTGAAACCCTAAGCACCCTAAGATATCAGACGCCGAGAATTTTTGTAGTTATTGGCCAGGGAGAGGGATATATGCTAAGCCCGTCTAGCCTCCTAGACCCCTATCCAAAACTTCCATCCAGTTCCCAAACGCCTGAGCCCTCGATCCTTACCCCACGAGCCCTGAGTCCTGCAAATGAGCATAACCTTACATCAACCCATTAAATTGCTGTAATCCCCATAACTACTCTAAACCCAAAGCCCAAACCGCCTTAGAGGATCTTCGTAGAACCCCCCTTCTTGTATTAAGATGGAACCTTGAAAGCACCGACAAAAACGTTTGAGTTTCATAGGCTGTTTTAGCAGGTTGCATCATAGGGGTTGGGATTAAACGTCAGTAAACTGAAGCCCTACTAATAGCGAAAATGGCCTGAACCTAACCGAAGCCGTATCTAAACCCTACATGACCTACCCTTCTTGGGTTCCTTAATCAAACAGCAGGTTCTGTTGGGTCCAAGTAGGCCCTAAACCCCAAGCCCTCATATAAACCCTAAACCCTCACAGTATCCCACAAGAAGATCCTAAACAGCCACGAAAAAGCCGTAGACACCCTAAAGGGAAACCTTATGTAAATCCCTAACCCCCTTTCAACCCCAAGCAGAATCCTCGCCCAGGCTTGTCCGAGCAAAGGGGCAAAGGAGGCACCCTTAATGGGGACCCCTACCCTATAATGGGCTATATAATGGATATATAATAGCTATATTAAGGGTATATACCTAGGGGTGCTTATTAAGGGTCCCTCCTTTTACCCTTGGATAAAACGATCCCCGAGGCTGACCTCTGCCGGCCTGGCTATGGCAGCATCCACCGCCGCGACCTCCCAGCTGGTTCCAGGCGGCAGCATTTCAACGTTTTAAGGGATTCCTCATATGGGTGGCTGTCGAAATTATGGTTCTTTTTGGGTCCCTATTTTCACACGGCACCTATTATTTAGGGTGCCCAAAAAGGGACCATAATTTTGACAACCACCCATATAGGTTTAGGGTTATAGTGGGGAGGATCTGACTAGCCCCAAGCCCCGTGGCAAAAAGAGGGTTATAGTGGGTTATAGGTCTCCGAAGGTGATTGAGGAAGGCTCTGCCCTATAGAGAGCTTCGCTGCCGGCATAAACTGCAAGTCCGTGCTTAGAAAGGGTTAGATGGGTAGCTCTCTAAATTAGGGTCCTTTGTTTAGGTCCTCAAAATAGTGCGGCACCCTGATGAAATGGAGCCTATACTAAAAGGGACCCTAATTACAGGTTGGTGGTCTCTTTACTTGAGCTTCCTGTGTTAAGGGGCAGCATATAGGGATCCTGACTCGGGCTGTATTTGGCTGCATTAGGAACAGATAAAGAGACCACCAGCCTGTTTAAGGGGTTCCTTTCAAGGGATCCAGATCCGGTGAAAGGATTCCTTTAAGGGATCCTTAAGGGGCTCTATAAGGGATCCTATGGTTGGGCGAGGTCCAAGCGCGTAGGGCTCTAGGATGTTATCGGGTTTAGGGTTTACAGTGTATAAAGTTCAGGGTTTAGCGCTTGAGCCTTGGGTTAATTCCAGGTCCGAGCTGCAAAAGGGTTTAATTAATTGGGTTGTACGGCTTAGGGTTCAAGATGTTGGAGTTTAGGCTGAGGGTTTAGGGCTCAGAGGTATCCTATAAGAGGCTTGTAATGGGTTGAAGGTTGCTCGTGATTTAGGGGCTTTAATAATTACCCATATTATTGTAGGTTCCTGATTTTATTTATGGTATAGTGGGCCCCAAAGCCCTATTCAAATTATTAATGCCCCTCTACTAGGGGATTTAGGGTTCAGGACCTGGGACTCAGAGTTGCCTCACGCTCACTGCCCAGCTGCAGGAAAAGGCTGCTGGGTGTCTGGCGAAGGGTGTTGATAAGTAGCTGCGCAGATAGCCTGGAAATTCTAGATATTTTGTAGAGTTATACAAGAACTGTTGAGTCCATCAGCCGGCGCTAAACCCGGAACTCTGAACACAATCTCCCGAACAATCATATCCTCACCGGCAAACACCAAGCTACACAGCTGTACTACCAGCTACCATCCTAAACCCACATACCTAATTCTTGGGTTTTCGGACCCTCAGAAAAAGACATGTGGGGGGAAGCCGGGTTCAGAGGATGGGCAGCAAAAATCTTTAGGGTGTGGGACTTTGGGTGTAGGGTTTTGGTGTTTTGCAGAGTGTCAGGGTTTGAGATTTGTAGGCTTCCGAGTTTCGGGTGTGGGTTGATGGCTCTTGCTGGATGTTTGTTGATGTACGCGGGATTGAAGCCTTACTGAACCAAGTTATCATATGCAAGTAAGTGTATGTAAGTATGTAGGTGCAGACATACATATATATATATATATATATGCATACGCACATACAGACAGACGGACACACAGAGCGAGAGAGAGAGAGAGAGAGAGAGAGAGCCAGAGATTGCGTAGCACTTACCCACAGAACCCTTCGCGGCCTCAGCCCTCATAGTTGCGGCCTACAAAGCTTGAGGGTTTGCATTCGCATCAGGCGAAGGGGACCCGTCCTCTTGGCGCAACTACGTCCGTGGCTTTCAGGGCGCATACCTCCTGCTGGAAGCCATCCTGTGCACGCCCTTGTAACTTCGCTGTGTTTGAGACCAAACTCCATGCACCCCAATCTTGCGGGTATCATGAACGGTCGGATCTTCCGCAGAGCGAATCTGGGTGCCTCTTAGTCTTACTCAGGAGTCAGCAAGCTTGGACTAAAGGTCCTCGACGCCCCTGAAGCCAAATATAGGAGTTTCCGAAAATGATGGGCACCTATTCTGGGGTCCTTATAATAGGGGGTCCTACTATTTTGGGACTATATGAGGGTCCCCCATTTTCGGAAACTCCCATATGGACCTATACATCTCCCCGTTTCTGTAGGCGAACCGCAAAGCTCCCGAGCCAAATCTCCGATCTCTCTTGAACGTGCCTTGGACACTAGGATGGAACCTTTTTAAAACCTCAAAACCCAGGCGCTCCAACAAGGTCCTTGAACTGTAAACTCAGTTTTGACTGAAGATGCGTAGAGTCATAGAACTCCTTTTAGCAGAGATCCGCGAAGAGGAGATGCCGAGTGCTGTAACCTGTTCAAACATCAGGCCGTCGGAGCTCCGTTCAGTTTCTCTGAATTCCTCAACCCTTGAGACCTGTAACCTTAAGATCTCGTCAATGAAGGCATGCCGAGCTTTGTTTGGAGCTGGTACGCCATGGGGCGGGTTGGGACCGGAACGACAGCATCTTTGCGAATGTGGGGCTGACGGCTGCCAGGCTCAGGGCTTTTCTAGCTTTCCTTCAAGAATGACTTTTCATGGTTGTCATTGTATAAACCCAAAGGGTTGCTTGATTGGGTGTCCAAGGTGCTTGAAGCTTTGGTGTTTGCGTCTTTTCTCTGGTTTACGGCGTTGGTTTGTAGGGATTTAGATCTTTGCGGATATTCAGGGCTGAGGGCTCAAGAATGTTGTACGTTCGACTCCTTTGATGGAGGGGCGTGTAGATGCCTGTGGGACAGTTGTTAGTTGATGGCAGCGCAATTCCTTGCGACTGTCGTCTCTGATTGCCGCACGTATTAGTGTTTGGTGCTGGCGCCAGCACCTCTCCCGCGGCCGCTGCTGCTGCTGCTGCTGCTGCTGGGGCCGGTTCATCGTCTCTGCCGGTTAACTAGCTGCATTCTTGTCCGCACCATCACCATCTCCATCAGACCTCGACTCTAGCAACCATGATTGCACGTCATACAGCCGTGCATGGCTTTGCCATTCGCTACACCGAAGTTTGATCGTCACCGTCGTCATTGACATCGATGCTCTGGTTTCGTAGGGTTATATTGTCTGGGTGCCATTGGTGAGTCGTGAGTATTGGCACTATTTAAGGTAGTGTGTGTGCTTCAGCTGTTGGTTAGTCACATCAATTACATCAGGCTCGAAACTGTCACCCCCAAACCCAAACCCTGTAGCCGATAGCCGTTGTAGTGACAGAATTCAGAACCTAGGCCTTAAATCCGCTAATCCCCAAGCCTGAAAACCAAACCTGACACCGAGTGTTCCCGTTTCCCTTGGAACTCAAATCAGGTTTTCCGGTCAACAACGCAGAAGGTTTCCCGCCAACAGCGCATAAGGTCTTCAAGCCCAGTGTCATTTCGTGTTTGGAGTTAGGGTTGAGGATGTGTGTTTTTAGTGTTTAGATGGCTAACGTTCACCCGGTAGCCCAACTTTTTTGATCTTTTTTCCCCAGAAATCAGGATCATTGACTCTTATGAAACGCCTGTAGAAGCACAGATACCTGCAGAGTTTCACAAGCATGGTAGACTTTATGATTCGAATATCGACCATTAAATTATGTAAGACAGGCCAAAATACCGTCAATAACTACACTAAGATGGTTTAGCATGTATACATACAGTATACCTTTATCTGTAGAACAGTAATATAGGCCATTACGATAAAGCAACATGTCATTAAGATTTATCACTAAGGTATACCTAGAAGTTTAATTTAGGCCATGAAGATAGACCCAAATGACTTTTCCATTGGCCACTGAGTTATACCTATCGTAGAACCCAGAAAGTTAGAGCATCATGGTCCTCGTGCCCTTAGAATAGTCATCCTAAATCCATGTTCCAACTTTCTGGGCCCCTATAAACCTTAAACCCCAAATTCCTATTTCCCTATCCCCTAAACCCTAAACCCCTAAACGCTAAACCCTTCATGTTCCCTAGCCCTGCCATCGCCAGGCCCTCTTCTGCAGGGAATTGGGGCAACTCGCCGTCTCCTACAGCGGCCCAGCTCTTGAGGTGCAACCGTTTCAGTACTGGGGTTGAGGGTTTAGGGTCCATACTTTAATACATTTTTTCTTAATGCAACCATTATGAAATACAAGTTTATACTATTTCTCCCTGGTTACTTAAAAGCCCAGATTGAGGCCCTAAAACCTTAAGGGTGAGTTTAGGGTTTAGGGATTATGCATATGTTTGCTTAAATGCCTTCAGCGTCGGGGATATGACTGTGTGTTCGGGTTTAGTTTTGAGTGGAGGTTCCTAGTGCTACGAGGTATTAAACTCAGAGCTGCTCAGCAATAGTAACGGTAGCAATGGACCTGGAAGCCGTGCCTGCGATTGTGCGAGTGTGCGAGTCGAAACTCTTAGATGTTTAGGGCACAGGGTCGCATCTTGAAAATTCTGGATCTGCAAAAACTCGATACTACCATATTCTATCTAACTACCGTAGCCAATGTATCCATAGCTACTTCTGCCTCCGGTTCTGACCGAAATCAGGCTAAGCATGGTGGTCGTAAGTCTAACAAGTAGAGGTTGCCGCTCCCGGCTTGGAAGAGCCCAATATCATAGGTGAAACCCTACACCCCTAACCCCCCCACCGTAAATCCCGTAAACATTCAAACTTCAAACCCTTAAATTTCTGCCGCCCCTACAGTAAACCCAAACCTGCGACTCCCCCAATGCGAGGCAGCGCCACGCCATTCAGGCGTTGAAGGCCTTGGGGCAAACTCTCCTCGCCTTCGATGGCGCCCTGGGCTGCGGATTGCGATGCGGTCTAGGAATGCTTACCCATAGGCACAATATTAGGTCCTTTTTGGGATCACCTTATAGGATTCTAAATATGAATCCCACAAGGAACTACGATGGAGCCCATGGGCACACTATTTTTTTTCAACAGGGTGTTGGTTAATTCAGCTTCTGGGATGTTCAGGGCTTAGACCTGTGGGTTTCGTTGTTATTCATTATAGAAGCTGCCCCCACCCTGTAATAGTGACTATAAGGATTATGATAGGGCCCTATTATATTCCTATTATGCCACTATTACAGGGTGGGGGATTATATTCCTATTATGCCACTATTACAGGGTGGGGGCAGCTTCTAAGTTATTGAGCTCCTGAGCTTTCGGCTTCAAAGTTTGGGTTTCTCGGTCAGTGCGTGTGTGCACGGATAGAACTGGTTTTGTCAGCTCGGGTCCGAGGAGGGGGTACGCTTGAGGCCACCAAGAGCCTCAGTCGTGTCTGCATGAGTACGAGCTTTAGGATCAACGGTGCTGATGTTGTTCCCGGCTGCATTTGCCGTACGCACAGATGCACATGCCAGGCTTTTCTGTGCAAGTACCCACTCAGGAAACCTAGGTTCATGAGTTGAGGCATGCAGGTTTCCAAGCAAGGGTTGCACGTCCGGCACAGCATCTGCTCATCCAGGCCAGCTCCTGCAGATTCTGCAGAAACTGCCGCCTGACTCCGGCCAGTGGCTGGCTGAGCGAGGGATTCCGCTCGAGTCACCGATGCTCCCCATCTTCGAGGATGAGCTCTACATTGACACGGGAATCTCCATGAACTGACCTGTAACAATTCCTAAATAGTATAGGATCCCTTGTTGCAAAGCCTCCTTCAAGAGAGCCCCCGTATTTGAGAACAAATCTCCCCAAGCCCGCCACCAACATCGAGAAGTTGGAACTCAACCCCGATCTGTTGAAGACTTCTCCATCGAAGTATATAGGGTTTGTGGGAGTTATAGGGTCTAGGGTCCCTAAACCCAAAACCCTAAACCCTAAACCCTGGGCTTCAGTGGGAGGAGAACAGCATCCGGCCGCAGCTGATGCGAGCCGTTTCCATCACTTGGGCGGCTCTGCTCTCAGCAGCCAGCGTCCTGGAACTTCAGCCGTCGCTGGGTTTATCAGGGTTACTATAAGGGATCTATAATATGGGATCTATAATAAGGGTACTATAATAATAAGAATAAAAATAATGACAATAATAATAATAATAATATTAAAAATAATAATGGGAATACTTACCTTTGGGAAGTAGGGAATGGAAGAATGGTAGTAAGAGTAGTTATAATTCTACCCCATTCCTCCATTCCCTACCAACCAGCGGTAAGCTTGTTGAGGGTATCTGTGCCATAACGTAGGCTTCTTGCCATATAAGCTTTAAATGAGTGGTAGCCGAAAAAGCCTTGAATGACAAGCCCTATAAACCTCAAACCACGTTTAACCCTAAAAACTATACCCCCTAAGCCCTCCAAAAACACCCGTCTTTAGGTTGCTTGCGGCGATTTCCCGGCAGCTGCAACATGCATCTCTGTGGGTTCCCGGCCGTTTTCCGGCGCTGGAGGACACGAACAAGCATCGGCCGTTTGCACAACAAGTGCTGCAAGAGCTGGGACAGGGCTTCTCAGCTGGGTTATCTAAGAGTTCAGGGTACTAACGGTTACCACCGGTGAAATATCAGCTTTCAGGGTAGGTTCCCTTCTTTGCCGGCATCTTTTGATCCATCAGTTCGTTTCTTAATCAGGTCGGGTAGTAGAGAGCTTTGTTGCCCCCTCCTCTATGCAGACGTCCCAACTCAAAACCGAAATCCCAGATCCGAAGCTATAGCCCCTGTAATCTAGTCGAGTTCTCCAAGCAACAGACCCGAAAGCTCCCAAACAAACCCACAGCCGAAAGCACAAAGAAGCCTTCTACAAGTTGTGGTGGTGGAAACTGAAGGCTCGTCCCTTGCCTCCAGCTCACCACCAAGAGCTCCCTCCGCAGCGGTTGCGGCGCAGACGGCAGCTGCGACGTTGCCGTCCGTGTTTGGGCCGGTTCATCTTTCTTTAACTATAGGATTACATACATACCATTGCCATTGCGTAAACTAGAGACAGGAACTACCAAGGAGACTAGGTGCTATCCAGCAGTGCCCTTTGGTTTTTGCTTGTTCAACTCGAAAAGTCGTCGAAGAGCACCGTCAAAATTAAGGGGCTACTGGGGAATCTTGTTTTAAACATAGTTCGATTTCAGGGATTTTACCGTGATTCTGCTAGGGGCGTTGGATGTTCTGCTTGTTGAGCTGAGGGTCTTCTTCGCTGGGGAAGTGGTGAACTGTAGCCGGATAAGTTCAGGAAAACTGGGGCTTCAACATAGCTACACCTGTCCTTGTGGGAGTGATGACTTGAAAGAGGATTCGCCCAAAGTTCAGCGTTGAGGAAGTCGTTGTTTCTAAGTGTGACTCCCGAGCAGCAGCCAGGTCCGTCCTCAGGTCCGTCCTTCTTTCAACAGGTGGGTTGTTGTACCCTAAAACCAGTAGTAGCGTGGGAAACCTTTAACCTTTTGGGGCACTATAAACCTTCCAAATTCATTGCTCAGGACATGTCATGACTCTGCAATGGTCGCACCACGCACGATATGGTATGTGGCAAGCTGCAAGCTGGCGTCGCGAATGCTCCCACTCTCAAGACATGAGCACAAAAGTATCCACCACAAGCCGTGTCGGAACAGAATCTAGAACCCCTGGTTGAAGCTGTTAACACTTCAGTTGCAATAACGAGACGCCCTACTAGTTCCCAAAGCCCGGTTCCAGCTATTTGCCTTTTCTCTCCATCGTAGTTTCTTTTGGGGGCTACCTTATAAACCCTTACATGTATGATAGGTTACCCCAACGAAAGGAACTGCAATGGAGACTGCAGGTACGTCCATGCAGCAGCATCATGTCCAGGTGTTCTGAGCCCTTGTTGAGCTGATGCTACAGAAGCCTTGTGTAAAAGTCTGGTAAAGTCATTTAGCCCCTCACTTCATCACTAATCCTAGCGCCCAAACCCGAAAACACCCTTAAGCCGCCCCAAACCCCTGCCCTCCCCCCTGAACCCGAACATCTAGACCCTCACCTCTAAACCCTCAGCCTTTTTTCAGCCCAGAAGTCTTTTTTGGGTTCTGCCTAGGTGGAATTCACGGGCTCCGAGTGGCAGCGTCCGCTTAGGGGTGGCGAGTTCGAGCCGTTCCTGTGCATCTGGGACTCCCTGGGGTGAGAAGGGCTGCTGTAAGGGCTCCGCAGAAGGTCTATTATCTAGGTAGGGCTTTGGGACATTTTATATTTTCCTTTATTGGGCTTAAGAGGATCTTACCTACTAATATTTTTCAAAAGCTTCAAAAGCCCCACCTAGTTATGCTTTAGGGGCGTAATTAGAATAACGGTTTGGGAATCACGGGCTCTAGGGGACTAGGATTCCCTTACATGGGGGACTTTGGATTCGGATGTTTGGTTTAAGGGAGGGGCAGTTTAAGGTGTTTTCAGGTTTGCATTCGATTTTTGTTGGTCCTGGTGGGAACTCTGCAGTTTTTCAGTTTTTGCTGTTCTTTGGTTATAGTCCGTTAATGCCTCTTCGAGTGTCCACGAGCGCTTTTAGATTTATGGTCTAGGCTTTTACGGTGAGGCAGCGCTTTGAAGTCAGAATGACGTTAGATGGTGGGGTCCTCTCGATTTGGGGGTTTCGAGGTCTGTAGGGTATTTCGAATAGAGTGTAAAATGCAGTACCCTGTCCCTGTGCCAGCAAACTGGCTCTCGACCCCTCTTTGTGAACATGCGTATCCGTGCAGAGCAAAGCAATTCCGCTACGCTCCCATTGGTTCATCGACCACCGCCCCGCAGGAAGGCATGATTAATCTGGGGGCGGGTGCGTGAACATTTGGCGGTCTTGTTTCCTTGAAAGGGCCCCGTAATGGAAATCTACTTACTAATTCTATTGGACACGCTGCTATTGAAGGGCCGTTATAGTGGTTCAACCTTTTGGCCTGAGCCTTTGCTCTTGCATACCCGTATCCCATGTAAGCCCCATCTTCGACGTAGAGTAGGTAACCGATTATCCCTAAACCCTATGAACCTTCAGAACCTGCTTAGGACCAGTAACGGACCCCAGATTCCCTAAACCCAAACCCCTAAGGGTCCAAGTAGTTCCTATTTATGGTTTTTGGTTCTGAAAAATGCCCTAAAGTCCTATAGTAGGGAGTACTTGGACCCTCTGGAACCCCGAGGCCTGTCGTACTGGCTGGCCAACGCCATAGACCAGGCACTGGGTCGCCCACCGCTGCGCACGGGCTGCGGCTTGAACCATAAGGGTTTTGGGTTCAGGGCTTAGGGTTCCCTTTTGGGGGGATTTCTAAGAGAGTTCCTTTAAGGGTTTAGGGCCCAGGGTTTAAAGGATATAGGGTTTAGGGCCGCTTAGGGTTGAGACAGGCGTTTCGGGGTGAGGGGGGGTGGGGCGTAGGGCCAAGGATCCTATTGGGTTTCGGGCTTTGGGACTGTTGCATTTAGGACTTGTCGCTTTCCTGCAGTCTTAGCTGACCTATAAGAGCCCTACAGCCCCGCCTACAGCCTTTCAAAGCAGGATCCTTTGCATGTTTTGGGGGCTTAAGGTACTTACACATACACAACTTGCAACGGTAACCTCAACTCAGCTTGGAGGGAAACCGGGATGATTGGGCACTGCATGCGACATCCTTGTAGTTTGGTAGTTCAGGTTCTCGCATTTCATTTTAGATATGCGTGCATGCCGAAATCGCTATGTTGAGTGTCGCGGCTGAGGTGACTGAGAGAGAGAGAGCGAGAGAGAGAGAGAGAGAGAGAGAGAGAGAGAGAGAAAAGGAAGGTACTTGGGGGAAGGGTGCCGGGTCGAGTCTTCTTGGCATTCTCGGAGCTTGCCTTCTTTCCGAAGGTTCTAATGTCTAGTCTAGCCTCAAGCTTTGGAAATTAGAACCCCTAAACCCTAAACCTTAAACCCTAAACCCCTAAACTGCCTCGCCTGGATTGTCCGAGTGTGAGCGCCGAAACCCCTAAACCCTAAACACTAAACCGTGTTTGGCCGCGCAGTCCGGAATCGCGAATCGGGAAGTCCAACCCCAAAGTCGCCAAGATTGGTTGTGAAGAGTGTGCGTGCGCGCATGTAAAAACAGTTACATACATATAATTATATAAGTATGTGTACATTTATGTATACATACACATATATATATACACGTATGCATATATCTACACACATATACGTGCACCCATGTCTGTAAGCACGTGCATTTATGTATGCATGTATGTATGTATGTGTGTATGCTGGTAGTATACACAGGTGGGTAGGTAGGTAGGTCGGTGGGTAGGTAGGTCGGTAGGTAAGTCGGTAGGTAAGGAAGGAGGGAGGTATGCAGATGCATATGTGCATGCTATGTGTCCTGCACACATGAGTACTCATATACATCTATACGGAGATAGATATCCTACCCGGATATCTGCAATCTCCGTAGACAGTCTTGATCCTCAAGTCTTCAGCTGTCATTCCATTACTCATACACTTCCATGCAGATACACTTACTTACATGCATACATACCTGCATATACGCAGCCAAGTACACCAAATACATCATATACAGTACAGAGTATGGGTACATTTTTTCTATTTATATACAAGTGTACATATGCACATATGTCTGTATTTTGAATAATAAAGATAGCAATAAGACAATAAGAATATGGGTTTACCAGCCTACATGCGTGCATGTCTACGCATATGTCCATATGGTATGTCTGCAACATAGTTTTATGAAGCATACATGTTTTCACTGCATCAAGGTGTTTGCAGCATACACACATCCAGCACACAGGTTCGTGTACATGTTTATACTCAGACACCGCTGAGATACAGCCGCAGGCGCAGGTACATGTACACATGCATACGCAAACATACACACACACATGCATACATGCATGCATGCATGCTTGCACATACATATGCATGCATGTATGCAGATGTGTACTTATACATCTGACCCACACGGGTAAACAGAGAGAAAGAGAGGGAGTGAGCGAGAGAGAGAGAGAGAGAGAGAGAGAGAGAGAGAGAGAGAGAGAGAGAGAGAGAGAGAGAGAGAGAGAGAGAGCGAGCCAGAGGAGAGTTTGTACTGCACTTCTGTGTTCGCCTACCGACATGTATTTTTTCGCTACGAATACATACAGACAGAGATGCAGACGTGCATACATCCACACGTGCTCTCATGCACACACACACACACACACACATATATATATATATATATACGTATACATATTTGTATGCATGTACTTATATATGTATGTATGCTTGAGAAATTATGCTCACGGTGGTTTCATCTCTTGATGTATGCCGCGCACATAGGAACCTGTAAAGCATAAACTCTATACGTATATCCTGCATGTTTCTGTTGGTTAATGACGTTTCATAAGTGGCAGGAGGATGGAGAGATTACCTGAAAGTTGGGGTTTCAGCAAGGTGGCCCCGTGCCGCAGACCGAGTGGCCCCGCATGTTTGCCAACTGGAAGCTCACGATTTGCGTGTTTTGGCTTCGGTTTAGGGTTTGCGACTTGAACAGATTGTCAGAGGTCTGTTTATGGCCCAGGGTGTACAGTAGGTCTAAGCTTCAAGGTCCGAACAGGCTGAGAATTTCTGTGACTTGTCGAGCTGTTTTGTTGTTGGGTAGTGTTTGTAGCGATTTGTGTGGGCTCGTCGCCGTAGGGCACTGGAAGATGCAGGGCGACCTTTTGTAGCAGGTATTATTATAGAAACAGACTATGAGGACTAGGGTACCAGCTAAGGTGAATCTCATCCTTTTCTTGGCACTCTGGTGGTGAGCGCAGGCACGTATTCTCACAGTGGCTAGCAAGACCGTCGCAGGCCATATGGCTCCCAAAAGAGATGCTTGCCAGGGTGCTGAGGCCCTAGCGCTTCTGGGTTTAGCACTATCCCTTTGCTTATGCGCAAGCCGAGTCTTGATGGTTCAGGATCTCGTTTCCGAGCTGTAGTCACACTTTATAACGCCTATTAGGCATGGCATCGCATATCGCATGTCGTGGTGTCCCAACTACAGCAGCCCAACGCTACAGCCTTGATTCAGCCTTGATAGGGTTGACTAAAGTGGGCTATCACTCAACTGCGGAAGTGGATTCAGAGCAGCTTCCTTCCGCCTGGGAGCGAACAAATCTTGGTGTCAGAGGTGTCCCAGCTGCCTTTTCACATCAATAGTTGGACTTATCGTTGTGAAGCCTTGCCTGCCTTCGGAGCAGCACGTCGGAGTGCATGTGAGTGTATCGGCAAAGGCTTGTGCGCTTCACTTGCCCATTGAAGCAACAACACATCTTTACAAGGCATTACGCTCGCACCCTAGCCTGCTTTGTGGGAGTCGTGAGCATCGCCTCAGGTTTGGTGTCTTTGGGTCTTGGTAGCCCGCTCCTCTCCGGTCGCTGGACCAAAAGAAAGCGTAAACACATGAACCTCTGTGTTGCAGCAGTAGCCAACGTAAGCGGTCGAAGTCGTCGTAGCCGCAGGAGTCGGAGCATGTCTTGTGAGGTGATTGCCGGCGACAAGCTTTTGTGAAAGAAAATCCTTTTCTGTTTCTTCCGTTCCGGATGCAAACCTCAAGCAGAGGGAGGCTTTAGTGGGGTTGCTCTGCCCCTGCCTCCGGCACTTGGGAGGCTCTGTGGGCTTTGTCTACGCCAGGAACCTCCTCCTTAGACTAGAATCTGCTTCATTCTTAGGCTGCGAGGCCCATCTTAGGAATCTGTAGGTGGAGGGTTGACTTGAGAATCTGCAACAAAGGAGGCTCGAGACTCATATTCATACACGGAAGGACAAGCATTGTAGAATACTGTATACCAACAGCCGCCAGTTAGGATCGGAAGCTTCGGATGATGAAGGTTCACAGAAACGGCCATGTTGCTGATGATGATGGTGGTAATGGTGATCGTCAGCTTCCTCTTCTTTGCGGTGATTACCAACAAGGTTTTAATCCCCACTGCCAGCATCACCTCCATCAGCATGGCGCCATCTTTATCATCAGCAGCAAGCCCGTCTAAAAGGGTAGTGTGATAGGGATTTAGCATGGCCGACTTCCTATAATATAGTCCCTACATCCCGCCCTCCCCATCAAAGAAGCCCTAAACCCTGAGCGTTGTGAGCGCCGAAACCCCTTCGGGCCCTTAGTACGTTCAAAGGGTTTCCTTGTGAGCTCCAACCTAGACCTAGACGGCTCAGTAGTCTTTGTGTGTTCATAAGTGTATATATATATATATATACACATAGATTTCTTATTTTATTTGTTATATGAGTATATAAGAATAAGTGTGTATATATAAAGAGGGGTTTGGGCTTAGATCTTATAGTTCAGGGTTAGGGCAGGTTTTAGGCTTTTGGGTTGAGGGTTTGGAGTCTTGTTGTCGATCTCCAAGGAAGCTGCCCCCATCCCAGCCAGGTGCGCTCCTGGAACCATGAAAAGGCAAGCTGCCTTGGATTGCCAGGGCTTAGGGTCAAGATTTTGTCTCTTATGCACTATATTTATGTATACATATATATATATATATATATATTCTCTGTTGCATACTATATACTATATATTATTCAGGATTTGTATGCGGACTGGATTTGGAACGCAAATCCAGATGTGAAGGATGAACTTGGTCCACGCATTGAGGCTGAGCGAGAGTTCTTTGTATGTTATGCGTTCTGAGTTGTCCTCTAAATTTGGGTCCTGGTTTAGGTCCCCAAAATAGCACAGTGGACGTTCCACTCTGGATGTTCTTGCAGGGACATGGACCAGGAAGATCATGACCAGCTAAAGCTTTAGAAACAGGTTAACCGCGACAGAAAGTAACACAGACTCAGGCAATCCTGAAGGAATCAAGGGATCACATTGTAAAATCCCGAAGCCACTATCTCCGGTACCACTCTTACACTAGAATCACTGGAAGTTGCTGCTACTACCATCGCTGTCATCGTACAAGTGCTGATGCTGCTGGTTCGCCGGACCAGCAGGAGCATTGGCTGCTGCTACGGCTTGAACGACGACGACGATGACTACGACGACGACTGCTACTGCTAGCCCTAGTGCCCCAACTTCTGCGGATGCTGCTGACACAAGGAACTCTTAAGCGCGAAGCTGAAGCCGTTCAGGCCTGCTAGCGCCATGGCAGAGCCACTGAAGCTGCTTCGTGAAATTCAGTATGCTAGATGGGTTTGGGCAACCATGGATTTGGTGGAAGCCTTTCCGATGCTTTCTGAAAAAAGCCATTGCATGGTTCTACATCCTTCGCTCATACCCGAGAGCCCTTACAGCGCAACATCCCAGCGTCCCAGACCGATAACCCCACGTTCCAAGCCCTCAGCCGGGTGTTGCGAAGCAAGTCGTGCCACAGCTGGATGTATGTCGCAGTGTCAGGGTACGGATCAGCAGCCTTAGCAGTCCGTTCTCAATTTAGGGTCAACTCTTTGTTTGTGTAGCAGTGTAGCCTGTTTGGCTGTGACTGCGGCTTATGGTGGGTTTGTATACCAGTGGAGTCCTGCCGCCAAATGCAAGGAGTAGTAGTGTCATTTTGGGCGGGGCTCATAAGCGTGTCACGCGTGCACCCGAATGGTGGCAAAGCAGCAACCGGAGGCACACTAAAACCCTACACTCTCGAAGCCATCGAAACATCCGACGCTGATGAATCGTTTAGGGCATCGGCTAAAGTTTCGCAGACCCTGTGCCGCAAGCACTCTAGACCCAAGACCATGAACAACGCAAACCTCATAGTCCCTGAGCTCCAGGCCTTACACCGAAACTCTCAAACTTTAAAGCCGACTGCGACGAAACCACCCTAGATCGCCCCAAACCCTACAGTACCCAGGATAAATAAGGGAAAGTTTGAACCTGAAGCCTAAACCCGAAACCCTAAAAGGCTCTACTACTTCCCGGTGATGGCGAAAGGCTTGGGCCCTGCGCTGGTCTGCGAGCTTTCGGGCCTTTCTTGGCTTGGGCCGAAGGCCCTTACGGGTTTAGCGTTTAGGGCTTGAAATTTTGGAGTCCAGGGTTTAGGGCTCAGTGTCTAGGGTTCAGGCTCAGAGATGGGATTTCTAGTTGTTGATAGTACTTTTAGGAACCTGATTTATGAACTAAGTAACCTGGGCCTCTAACCAAATAGTAGGATGCATATAAGGAACCCGAATAAAGGCCCAGGGTTTCTTAATCGGGTTCCTACATGAGTATACTTTCAGTTCTGGAGTTAGGCTTATGGAAAGCTGCGTGGCTTCAGATCCTCTGGATCCGGCAAGACTGAGCCATCCGGGGCCGACTTACCAAAGTAAAGCCCGAACCCGTCGGTCTGTTCTGAAGTATATGAACACCTTGGATCTCTATGCCTCTAGGATTACGAGAGCAACTCCTATCATACGAACATATATATATATATATATATATATTTATTTATTTACTTATTTATTTATTTATATATGTTCGTATGATAGGAGTTGCTCTCGTATTCCTAGAGGCATAGAGATCCAAGGTGTTCATGAAGTTTGTCGCATGAGCCAGCTGATCCTGGACCTGTGGTAAAGACATGCCTGCCCCATGCGGGCGTACTCCTCAAGCCCGCCAACTACAGGTGTCGGAATTCTTAGGGTTCCTTATCATAACTTGCAGTATCAGACGCCTAGTCATATTAATATTTTTGTTGTTGATTATTTTTTTGGTGATGAAGGCCCCTCTACAGCTCAGGCAGACTTTATGATGCTCGGACCTCGCCTTAACTCAATCGCGAACCGGAGGTTTCAGAGCAGAGTCTTGAACGCAGAAACAGGCGTTTGGGGGTTTAGAGTTTGCAGGACGATTATAAGAAGGAACAGTTGGTGTGGGGTCGAGAGTTCAGGGTAACTCCAGAACCCAAGCTTACTGTGAGGCAGGCAGCGAGCCTGATTATCAGCTTGGTGGGATGTTCCTGGCATGTCAAACGTTAAGTTCTTTAGGCAGCGAGTCTTTCCCACCTCCGGGTTAAGGAATCCGGAATCTAGTCCCGCAGCCCTATTTTTGCTTAGGCCCAGGGTTCGGGGCAAGCCGCAGACCAATCGCAGGACTTGGGCTTTACAAGGGATGACTGGCCAAAGCTGAAGGAGTCCGGCGTCTGGGCCAGGTGTAGGGTCGCCGCCCCGGGTTGAAGTCTAATGCGAGTGTTTCAGAGTTCCAGAGAATTATGTAGCCGATTGGAGAACTTTAAACTTGTTGGCAATATATGTGGTTTATAATAAAATTGTTCAGTCTATCTGGGCCCAGCTATTGAAGAAGAGATGAGAAGGAAGAATCCCAAAGCAGGGGTCCTTGCAACACGGATCCTCGAGTGATCAAGTGGAAAGCATGGTGCGTTGGATATCCTCTGCCCTGCCCTGACAAAAAAAGTTTCGGGGACCGGTGCAATACCCACAGACTCGGAGCTCACACGTGCCGTATTTATGCTAGGTCCACCAGGCTTACTATCGTGTGCTAGCCGACGTGTACCGACACCGTTCAGCCCCGTTACCCGCCAAGACTCACAGACTGCATCTCGCTTCCAACATGTCTGCCCGAAGTTCCAGGAACACCTCTGAATAGTTTGGGTGTAGGGTTTTGGGGTTTAGAGTTTTCGGGTCGAATGCCTGGGAGAGAGAGAGAGAGAGAGAGAGAGAGAGAGAGAGAGAGAGAGAGAATTTTTTTCTATTTTTTTAATAGACTGTTTGCATTAAGTGAGATACTTGTGGGAAGCGAAGACCCATTTCTCAAAGGATCGTGCATGTGTCAAGCCCATCATCGATGAACCCAGGCATTATATAGTCCAATACATCTCTTTGCACAAACTGGGGGGCTCGATGATTTTTCACGCCCGCCGAAAGCCCCATAACACATGGGGGGCCCATGAGGCCGGGGGGCCTGACCCGCCCCTTATGCCCTGCAGAAGAAGAGAGAGAGAGAGAGAGAGAGAGAGAGAGAGAGAGAGAGAGAGAGTTTTCGGGTTTAGGGCTTTATGTACCGATATCTAGTGTCAGGATCTTGGAGGAAGAGTTTGTGACAAGGGTTTCGTTTCAAGCTGCGGATCAGAGCCTGGGTTCATAAAGGAACCCCATGGCGGAATATGGGTACTTCTTTCAGCTTCTATATTACAATCTTTATGTCATAGAAGGTTCAATATAAAAGTTGAAAGAATTACCGATATTCTACGATGGAGCTCCTTACTACAATTTAACAGTCCCCGTACACCAGAACCTGGTTTTATTTTACTGTAGTACAGTATACCCCCAAACCTTATGCTAATGATGAAGGCCCCTGCATTACGGCGTCGCTCGAGGCAAGTGCGCCTTCGGACAGCTGCCGTTGCTGGAAGTGGGATCGACGTGCATTTCGCAGTCCATCGCCATTGTGTGTCTCCGCCAGCATCAGTTTAAGGGTCGATGAGGTTCAAAGAGGGTTTAGGGTAATTAAGGGCAGATGGCGATCATGAAGCAGTTTGTGAACTCAATCCGAAGATCAAGACTAGTGCCTGAAATGACCGTAGAAATAACGTAGCAAACAACTTCAATTAAGACCCTCATGATCGCCAACATAAGAAGCTTTGGAAAGTTGTCAGCCACCTCAGAAAAGATTTCAAGCCTAATTACATTGCAATGCGACACACTGAAGGTAGATTGGTGCCTTTGAGAAACAGGGCGGGGACCATAGCAACCTATGTAGAGTCTAAGCATTGGGTGAATAGTGCCGGGTTAGAGCCTCTACAACATGCAGACCCTATCGGAGAGCCACTTCTTTGTAACGAAGCACCTTTCTGTATTCAGGAGCTTTTACAGGTACTCAGAGCGGCCAAGATAGACAAGCAACCTGGACCGGACAGTGCGATTATGGAACTATATAAATGGCTCGACGCCAATAACAAAGAGATTCTGCTGGATATGTTGAATTCCTGGTGGTCCAGGGGAGCTGCGCCTAGAGATGTTTTCCACGCCAGAGTTGTGCCGATTTACAGGAAAAGTCAAACAGATGATGCGGCAAACTACAGACCCAGATCCTTGTTACACAGTATATACAAATTTTATTGTACTTTAATCAGAAACCGGGTGCAAGAAGCAGCAGATCACAAAGTCTCGGCAACTCAGTATGGGTTCAGACGGAACAAGTCTACGGCGCATGCTGCTTACATAATCCGCCGAATCCAAGATTGGAGCGAACAGAAGTCATCTGAGTTGCACTTATCATTGTTAGACTGGGAGAAGGCATTTGATAAAGTACAGCACCATAAATTGTTCCAATCTTTGGAAAGGCTCGGTTTCACCAACAAGTACGTAAACACCATTCGCAATATATATATATATATATATATATATATATATATATCATTGCCCTACTTTTGCGTTGAAGATGCTTACGGTACTTCTACTACTAAAGTACAAAAGACAGGAATTAGGCAAGGATGTCCATTGCCAAAATATTTATTTCTGTTAGTTATGACGTGCATAGACAAGGATGTAGGCCGACATTGCATAATGCCAGGCTCCCGGGCCTGGATTTCAATAGTGTTTATTATGCGGATGATACTATCCTATTTTCCACAACAGCACGCGCACTTAATGAGCTCATCAGTCATGTGGACAGGTTTTCAGAGCAATACGGCCTACGACTGAACAGGGCCAAATGTTGTGTCCTGCACATGAACAAAGAGGCGGACATTCATTTTTCAGATCACGCGTTATTGCCTGCAGCACAAGATGCAGTCTACTTAGGCAATAACTTGAATCATACAGTAAATATTCGGCACGAAGTCATCCAACGTATTGTTGACGTAAAGAGGACGTGGTTGAAGCTTCATGTATATTGGAGAGATCAGGCAGCTAACAGAAAGTGGCAACTATTGGTGTATGATGCTGTTATAAGAAGTCGACTGCGTTACGGACTCGAAACAGTTCATCTGACAAAGTTATTAATACAGAGGATTAACGCGTTTCACCACAAGGGCCTTCGAGAAATATTTAGACTAGCTTCCACATATATTGATCGTAGGAACACCTATGCGAAACTATTCGAGAAGGCCTCTGAAATCGCAGGCAGAGAAATCATCCATTTCAGCAAGATGCTAGAACAAAGGCGAATGAAACTTGCCGGGCATGTGCTACGTTCCAGTTCGACAGACCCAATGAGACAGATAAGCTATCAACCTGATAGTGCAAACCCTTGCATGATCGGAACCCGTAGGGTAGGCCGCCCCAGACGGCAATGGTTACACAACAGTAATGCTCTTATACACACGGCATTAACAGGTAATGACAACTACACGGGGTCTGAAGCTCAATCCGCTAGGCGTTCAATTTAAATTACCCTAAACCCTATAAACCCTGGCTTGAGGATGAATCGCCTTGCGATTTGTGTTCATACATAGGGCTATGGGGGTGAGACAGGGTCCATCTCGGCATCATCACTGTCGTCATCAGATTTCCTAAATACCTGAGCTATTCAAGGGCCTGCTGAACACGGCGCTGCAATACCCCAAAGTTCGGAGTAGTCTGCCTTCAATCTGGTCTCGTACGGTTTAAGTTTACGATCTTCGTTGAGGAGAATTGGCCTCTCGATGTTAGAAGCTGAAGGAAACGATCAAGGCAGCTCGCTAGCACCAGCCCTCGTGCCCCATGTATATATCCTCGATCGGAGTGGCTCCGTTTTGCCACTCCCCTGAACCCTAAACCGGAAAGCCCTTGTTCAAGTAGTCTGGTCAACATGGCCGAGGAATTATGTCGGGAAGCTCGCGGGCACAGAAGGCTGGGCTATCGATTGGGAGTCTTTCTTCAGTGAGGTTGTTCTTGTTCGCGGTAAGCGGGACGCCTTTGCTACTTGTACTTTTGATGCCACAACCCCAAACCCTGAACCTGCAGGCGTTTCACTAAACAGGGTTTCCTTTTGGACGTTTGGGTTCCTTGCTTCAGTTCCCCTCCTCGTCTACCCCTTCTCCACCACAAAGAATCAGGTGCCACGCCTGAAGACTTTGCGACGTCCCAGACGCTGCTGGCAGAGGGCGAGGTGCTCCCTCCCGAGAGTTCTTGGTGTTTCATGTACGTAGGTGTTTAAACAATTAGAAGAGGGTATGAAGATGTTTGAAGGTAATGATCCTGTTTATTTATTTTATTTAATGCAGCTGGAACCACTAATTTCTACTTTTCTCACCCTACATTGGCAAAAGAGAGGTCCCCGCTGTCAGGTCAGAGATCTGGGTTCGAAGGAGTTTTAAGGCTTTGGGCTTGAGGGTGCAGGCCGTCAGAATTTTGGGTGCAGGGGGTTCGAGCTATTCCGGGTTTAGGGTTCCCGCATTCTGTTCAGAAGGTGAGGTGGCTGGCTTGCGAGTGCGCATAAACCCGCCAGCTGCGCGCCAAAACTTGGCCATAATTGTAGAGCACCGCAAAAACCCGCCGCATAGCAACTTGATGACGTCGGTAGCGTGCCTCTGCTTCTGACCATGAGGTCACAATCACTCGGAAAAGTATCTCTCTTCAGTCCCGCTGTCGTCACTAAGTACACTCTAACCAACAATTACCACCAAAGGACTAGTCTAATATTCAGGCTATTAAGGCCCCTGTATTAGACAAAGTTTTGGCAAATGTGGTTTTGCTGCCCTTTCTTCAGGACAGTGATAGTATTAATGAGTAGCAGCAGCAGCAGCGGTGGCAGTAGCAGTTATGGTAGCAGCAGCAGTAGTAATAGCAGTAGTCGTCGTGGTAGTGGTGGTAGTAGTTGGTAGGTATTCCTCATGCTCAGGCCCTTCAGGAATACGGTAGGGAGGGGAATCGTCATTTCTGCGTCTACGGCCAACGGTAAGCAGGACCTGTATGCGGCCATGCAGAAGTTCCAGCCCACTCGCAGCGTTCCCTGGCCGCACGTTCGAAGCGATACATGGGTTGGATGTATGACCCTCAAGCCTAGAAGCCCCAATTTCGACGCTAAAGAGCAAAGAACAGGCCAATTTTATAAGGGCCCAAATAATTACCTACACTTTTTTGAGGGGTTCCTTACAATAATTACAGCATAATGGGCCCCAAAACCCTAGTCTAACTATTAAGGCCCGACTTGTCATTTAACCACCACGAGTCGGCTCCCAGAGGTGCCGAGTTGGCTTATAGGGCCGATGTCGGACTCCCTTCCTATCCTTTTTTTGGGGGGGCTGGATGTTATAAGGTTTGAATACCTACCAACATGATTGTTTGGCTCTTTTAAAAAAATGTGTATATGTATATATACACCCAAACCCTAGTCTTGTCCTGTTCCCGTCACTCAAGCCCACATATTTCCCATCAGGGCATGGCTGTTTACGTTGCAAGGCTCGGTGGAATGCTTCGAACTCCAAAGCCCCCCTACATTGCCCTACATCTGCACATGTTTTGGATTGTTGCAAGGTCAAGCTTGGGGAGTACGGCCGGGACGGCATCACCCTGAAAGGGAATGCCACTGCCCACGGCAAGTTCTGGGAGGTGCATTGCTGGGTGTTCGATCTAAATTCGAGTTGCTACAGGTAATTGAGGTCCCCTAAATCCTAAGCCCTACAGCGTATTTCCCCCCCCCCCCCCCCCCGACCCAAGCCTCGAATCATCCCCGAACCCTCCACACAAAGCACTCGGCATGAGCGGGTCTTGGGATGATTTGGGGGCTTCTAGGGCTTAGCATGCTGGGGCCGCCAAAGAATGGGCGGGTATGAAACGAACCCTGACAGTCGGATACCGAATATTACCAGTAGTGGAAAAATCGCCGGCCCCTCTTGAAGGGCAGCCATGCATTCTGGAGAACATGAAGTGTTCTCATTCTCAAAGGATCAGCTTTCCGTCTGGTCCATCTAGCTATCTAAGCCCATTCTCGTCGACAAGTCTGCAAATCAGATATTCCAGCTCCAGTGTTACAGCCGCAATGATCGGACCCGCGTTCTGGCGCATATCACAAGGAGATGTTACAGGGTGACAGGGCCTTGCGGTGCAAGTAGTCAGACCACTGCCTTCAACGACTGCAGAATTCACGATAAGATATTCCTTTGTGCTCCCTTTACTGTTTATCCGCTACAACTGATTCGAATAAAACGCATCGTCTGTTACTCGACGTTTTGGGCTCGCTAGAAGAGGCTCCGACTGACGACTCAGCCCTGCCTTTTTCTGAGGGCTGTTGAGAGAGAAGCTCTGGTGTTGAAGGTTAGGGTGTAAGGTCAAGTTTAGAGGTTAGCAGTTTTAGGGTTTAAGGTTCGGAACCTCTGCCCGTGATTGAAACGAGACAGTTCTGGCTCATCAACGGGGTTTAATGCTGAGGTTTGGGGTTTAATAAACCCATGGCAGTATTGGTAAGTAGTTTGAGGACAAACCGAACACATCTGAACACAACTCGTGGCGAGGAGTGGGTTCCTGACCAGCTGCAGAAGCTGGAGACACTGCTCAAAGGAAAGAGTCAATTCACAGCAAAGGGAGAAACAGCGTCCCGGCTGCACAGCGTGCCAGACGTTTCTTTGCAGAGGTTTGAACGCATGGCATGGTTTACTTCGTTTACTTTCGGCAAGGATGATTATCGTTGTCATGTAGTAGGAGAGGCAGCAGCCGTTGCAGCAGAACCAGTTGCATCATATAGTGGAACAATTATGAAAGGGACCCTAAACCCCTCAACCCTACACCCTACCTACCCCCTTAATTGAGCGACTCCCTTAAAGTTCTGCTGTGCCGGGACCACATACCCTGCAATGCGGGCTTCGTCCTTGCTAAGTAGGAGGGAAAAACCGCAAGCTCTAAATCCTACCGTGCCTATCTCTCGTATTCTTCGTGTACCCGGGAGATCATTGGTCTGCGTGCGTCGTTAAGGCCTTGGATACATTTTCTTTTTGTCGGGCTGCAGATTCTTAAGTCACATGGGGGACTTTGGGACGAAGGTCAGAGATACTGAGATGCCTGACATCCAAGAAGCAACTCTTCTATGTCTCATACCGCTAGACCAGCAGCTATATAGCAGGACGTCGGGTAGTCGAATCCCCAGGGCCTGAACTGCAAGTCCTGCATGCCATATGCTCGGATTTGGGTCTCTAGAGCGAGTGTAGCCCTCAGAGTCTTCGAGTTTAGGGTTGAGGGTTCAGGGTTGAAGTAGGCCCCAGGAGCCCTGCAAAGCCCCAGCAGCTGCTTTTCTCAAGCTCCCGAAACCTAAAGAAAAAAACCCGAAACCCTAAAACCCTAAACCCTAGGAGGCAAAAAACCCTGAAGCCTAAAATCCCTAAAACACTACACCCCTTAAGCTCCCAAAACTCCAAGTTGCTCAAAAACCACACCACCCGAAAGCCAAAACTCCACACGTTCAGCCGCAAAGCCCCAAATCCAAAGCCCCAAACCCTATTGGCCCCATCCATCACGTAGAAGGAGAGGTATGTATGTGTGTGTGTATAATATGTATATATATATATATATATATATATCTGCATATACACATATGTGCAGACATACATACATATAAAAATCCAAACCTTTAACCTTCACCTTCAGGCCCTAGACTGCAAGGCGCTTAGTCCCCAAGCCCTTGAGAGATGCATCGCGAGGTCGGGGAGCTCTATCTATGGGCGATGCTCCACCAGATGAAGCTTTGCAAGTCGGAGCCTGCGTGGGTTTAGAAGTTGAGAGGGTTGAGAGTTGCACTGGCAGGCACCCCAGTCCGAAAAAGGGATTTGCGGTCAGGAGGGCAACTTGGAGGCACTTCAGAGAGACCTTGTTCAAACATCGGTGTAGGGCTTTGGGTTTGCTTCAGAAAGGGGTTAGGGCTGATACTGGCAGGGCTTCTATGGTTGATAGGGGTCCGGGATTGGTGCATTACTGTGTCGCCCGGGAACCACAAAGCTGCAAAGCACTATCAGAACCATCGAAAGCCGACAGACCACTGCTCCGTGCTCAAAGCCAGCCCCAGTTTCACCTCCCCGTCAATAGAAGCTGAACATCTAAAACCAGCGCTCTTCTGAGAGATGTTTAAGTTTGAGAGCCCTACAGAAGGAAGCCTCTGCACCCCCATGGAGGAGCTCTTCTCCGCCACGCCAAAACTGGGCGAGTTCTATGCGAGGATTGCGGGCCTCGCCGGTGTGAAGAAGGCGGATCTTGAGGGAGTGTTGTCGCGATTGCTCAATGATCTCACTTTTAAAGTCGGTCTTGCGCCACCCACACTACGTCTACGCAGTTTAAATGGTCCAATGGTTCAACGTTGCGCATAGGGTGTCATTTGAGTTGCATAGGTCTCGCGATAAGCTTTGGTTTGGCTTTTATTGGGTGTAGGGGGAGGCTGTCTCAGTTTCAGAATCCGGACTGAGCCCATTGTAGCTTTCTTGCTATTCTTTGCTGGTGTTCGGGCAGTTCTGTTTTGACATGATGACTCGTGTGACTAGTCTGCAAACCTTAGATGCTGAATCCAAGCACTGCAAGTATTCGGGCCGATTGGCAATGTGACGTTACGATGTAAAGCTTGGCAACCCGATTCGGAGGACCTTGCGCGCTCGGGATTCAGGCTTCGGGGGTTGAGAGGGAGCGGCGAGCGTGTGTGGCTAGACCGGGCGGCTGGACAACGCGGCCTATTGCAGAAAGGGTATGTTTTGGGGTTTGAGTCTGATATTTTTGGCTGGACGTTGATTTACGATGGGTACTTTCAGGGATCAGGGTGCATATTAAGGTTCCGAGGCCAATGAGTCAAACACTTCCAGTAACAGTCCGTTTAACTAGTAAGTGAACCCGTAATATACCTACTCTAGTCTTACGTGGTGCTGGCAATTTACCAAACCTTGCATAGAAATCTTCATCAGCACCACAGGTGGTCAGTGGCGCCTCCACCTACGGTGAGTGGGAGCAATATTTTGTCAATCCTGAGTGATTAGAAGAGCGTGCATTAGCCATTGATATTAACTTAACCTATGGTGAAGCCTCTAGCAGCGTAGTGTGGGCGGTGATTTTGATGCTGTCCTAGACGTCCTAATAGTCACGGAATAACACTTGCCTCAGGACTCAGCTGTATTGGAAGCGGTATCATGATCATGATTCATTCTTAATTACTGCGAGCTGTTCAGACTTGCATGTACGGTTTACATGCTCTGCAGAGTAGAGTGTTTCGAGCCATGGTCTAGGGCTGGCAGAAGGAGCATTGAAGACTTGTTCAACTTTGCCTGCGTTTGTACATCATCCGTTTGCATAACGTCTGGAAGTCGTTAACCCTGGACCGGAGATCGTGAACCGTCAACCTCGGGGTCCCGACCCTCCACTCTGAACACTGAGCCTGAAGTCCAACGTTTTCTTTGAGCCTTGGGTTCAGACTCATGGGCATGCGGAAGAAACCGAAAAGCCACTCCGCGCACCTGATGCTGTTTTGCATACACGGGGTCGTTCTATGTTGAGGCTCTCTTCCTGGTTCAGGGCAGCAGGGCTTTGGGCTGTCTCTCGTTTTGTTTGTAGTGTCCGGGAAGAATCCCAACTTCAGATAATTTCTTGGAGCCAGCTTCAACATCCAAGCCATGGGGTCCTCCGCATGTTAATGTGTGCGGAGCCTGTTAAGGCACGCTACACTCACTAGTGCCAGTCTCTGTGTTTGTTGGTGTCGCTGATTGTTGACTTTGTTAGCGAGTGGTGGTTCAGCTCGTATCGTTGTGCACTCGCTTCTTCCACCTGCCGCCATGCCAGCATTTAGAACGTTGATTTTTGTGGGGGACATGCAGACAGAATGGTTTCGATCCGCCCGGCGACGATCGATGACCTACCTGGTATGCAGGCATGCGCCAGCCTCAGATTTTTGACCGAAGCGCGCGGACACATAAAGTCTACTATGGAAGTCATCATTCCTAAGCCTGGTCGACACGGCCCGCACACCGATAGGTCGAAATAGTTACAAACTGTCACCATGCTATTTGTTAGGTTTCTTTATTGTAATGATGCATCTATAGTGCAGGTGGTGAGGATAAGTCCGCGATGCTCCGTCTTCTTATTAACAAGGTTTCGCAGCCTGGGCAGTGCTGAGGCAATCTCTGCTGCCTGCCCGAGAACTACCAGATGAGCCTACGATGCACTCAGGTGTCATGATTTCCAGGATTTACGGGTTTGCCCATAGGCTCCATAGTAGTTCCTTTTGGGGGTTACCTTATGGGGTTCTATATATGGACCACAAAAAGGAACTACTATGGAGCCTCTAGGTGTTTGGGTCTTCTTCGTGACGAATCCAGGTGTGCCCAAAACGCATGGCAGGACTCTCGAGCTCCGTGCCAGATGACGCTGACGCAAAGACTTTCCCAAGCTGAGCCGAAACCCTTTCAGGGCTTGAGGGTTCGGGATTTCAAGGTTCGGGGTTTAGAGGAGTTTTGTGGTCTAAAAGCGCTGGGTTTAGAGTTTACGATTTTCTGTTCAGGGCTTAAAGGCTTTGGGTATCGAGTTTAGGGTTTAGGGCCCTGGAGCTCAGGAAGTATTATCTCTACCACGCCCTATCATGGCCGCAGTTGCCACAGGTAGCAGCCGCGGCCTCAACAATTGCAGAACTTGGCACTTCCGAGTTCATTGTCGTGTATGCAAGGGAGTTGCAGAACACGCAGGTACCTGACTAATGTGGCGCCTTTGCAATAAGGACTCCACTATTTGGGTTCTATGTTGATTCCCCGCATTGTCAGACACTCTCGTATCCTGTCGAGGAAGGGTTGAAGTTGGGCGCGGGGAGGATTTAGGGTAAGGTTCCCTCGCCCCTATAAACCCTAACCCCCCCCTCCCCCACACATGGTGCCATGGAGTTAGTTTCTGACCGTTGGCGTTTTCCGGGAAGCCTTTTGCTTCTCATTCTTCATGTCTTGTCTTCGAAATCCTAAAGGCATTCACAAGATATCGGGCCTGCAGTGTTATGTTTTATGGCCCTTTAGAATGCCCTATCTTTGCATGTAGAGACCTGGTGTACAATGCCCTATCTTTGCACCGAACAAGATTGCAACATCAATACGAGTGATCCCGATGTTGATTCAGCAGATGCACAGCATTGTGAATTTCGGCCATCACGCTGCTGAGATGCTATTTTTGTTGTTGATGGTCATGCTGATGCTGATGGCTGTGATGCTGTGGACGAGCGACGAGAAGATGAGTCTGTGAACAAACAACACGGCGCATGGTCCAACATTGAGGCAGTTTTAGAGTAACCAAGGACACCAGACCCAAAACCCTACAACCCTGGTACCCCGAATTCGATGAGCACCCTAATCTCCAACTCTAAGGTGGATAGCCAGAACCGAATCGTCGGCTACGTCCTTGCCAAGATGGAGGAGGCAATGCAGGTTTTGAGTTTCCGGCCTTGCAGATCAAGGTTTTTGGGATGAGGGTATACTATGTGAGGAGCTTTGCAGTGGGGAGTGGGGAGGTGCGGTTTTTGTGTCAGGTTTAGGTTAGTTTAGATATGAGCTGCATCCATCATGTTGTGAACTCCCCTTGCGGTGCTACATGGGCTAGACCCGGTTCTGAAGTCTCATGTCGACCATGCTGGCCAGTTTGTTGCATGTCACCCTGATGGTTCTGTTTGGGCTGGCACATTAGAATATATAGAAGCCTGAATGGTTGTCATTTTTCAATAGCACAGGAATATTAAGGGTCGCTGCGACGAGACGCAAAGAGTGTTGATGTACCGATCGAACAGTCGCAGCTACATGTCAAACGAGTGCATGTAGGCTGTCTGCATACCCCCGATTGCGAGGATGCTTGGTAATCTCGTCTTTAGGATGCAAGCGCACATATCCTAGCTAAAGGCGTTCCAGACTTCAGAGAAGTTTCGAAAGCATTTTGCAGAGTATGAGCGGGGATCTATTTGTTGCACTACCCTTGACAGTACCAGCCACACGAGTTCAAAGACCGAGTGGTTTTCAAAAGCAATAATTCTTGTCGCTGTGCGAGGTAACGCAACCACAGTTGATCTCTGTTTGTAGTCTTAGCTTATAGCCATGGAAACACTGAGGTAGAGGAACCCCGAGTTGAAATGCCTCAATCCAAAACCCGTCAGTTTTTCAAAACACAAGAGTGCTTAAACCTTAGACGGTGCACCAGCCCTGGGCCCTAAACCCCAAGGACACGGATGAAGTCCACGGCCACATCACCTCCCTCGCGGTCATGCGAAGCCAGGGTCTTGTGCTGTCTTGGGTTGAGGACTTGGTTGTTGCAGGATTTCGGGTTGTTCAGGTTTCTTTAGATTTGTTACACCGATCTCTCTCGGGAGTGGGATTTCCGGCGTCCCATTGTGATCATCCTCTGATACATTTCGGATCCTGATGATCGGAGTCTAGTTTAGACATATTTAAACTTCCCTAAGCCCTAAACCCTCGGTTAGGGGTTGGCGGATCCAGAGGCCTGAGGCACGAGTTTGGGGGCTTAGGGCCGCAGGGCTTATGAGTTTGATTGTAGGTTGCCTGGCTTGGAGCTCCGGGCTGGCATCGGGTTCCTTCAAAGGGATCCATAAGGGTTCCTTTAAAAGGAATCTATAGGTTTTAAAGGTTTAGGCACGAGGGTTTATATAGGGCTCAGGGTTTCCAGGGTGCTGGAATGTAACTTCGTGTCAGCTAGTTACATACATTCGTCGTTGGCCCGACTTGCTCTATTGCAATATGTAGATACGTACTGGTATGCACCACTAGCGGATCGAGCCCGTGCTACACCAGTGTAATTTACGATAACTAGGTTTCGTCGTGCTGGAACAACATGGAACAACGCATCACGGCGATGGCTTACCGACTTGACTGATAGGGGTTGTAATGGGCTCAAAATTGTTTTGCGACTCTAAAGCCTAAAACCACAAACCCGAAAACCAAAACACTGCAAACAATTACTCAACCTTCAACACGAAATAAACTCCGAACTCCAAGGCTACCGCCGGCTTGGGATTGCCACGGCCCTAATGAGGCAGCGGTATGCGGCAACGTTTACATTGACTCCTGCATCCGTATGAATCTGGAATCTAATACAAGAGAACCTGCGCGGAAGCCTCTATTCTTCAGGACTGCTGCTTTCAATGTGTTGAGGCCTGCGCCTTTCGGTTGATTCTCTTGAAATCTAATTTTGTTCGTGGTTGTGATGCTCTTTGAGGCACCTGAACCCACGCATAGGGCTCTTATACAATGTGATTCAGGGAAACTACCCAGGATGCTGGAAACACGGCAAGCATGCCCTGGCAAATTTGCTTGCAATGAGACCTCCGAACCCGGTAATTACAAGACTTGCGCTGAGATGTTGGTGTCTTCTTGCCTGAGCCATAAGCTAGTAACAGGCCTTTGTGCTGCTGCTGCCGCTGCTACTACTACTACTACTACTACTACTACTACTATGATATACTACTACTACTACTACTACTATGATATACTACTACTACTACTACTACTACTACTATGATATACTACTACTACTACTACTACTACTACTACTACTACTACTACTACTACTACTACTACTACTACTACTACTACTACTACTACTACTACTACTACTACTACTATGTAATACTACTACTACTACTACTACTACTACTACTACTACTACTACTACTACTACTACTACTACTACTACTACTACTACTACTACTACTATACTACTACTATGATATACTACTACTACTACTACTACTACTACTACTACTACTACTACTACTACTACTACTACTACTACCACTTCCTTGTTTGTTTCAATGACTCGCCTACTGTGGAGAGCCTGTAGTGACTGTGAAATATTCGAATTCGAACAGCTGAACTGAGCTGAACTGTGTGGCGCTGAAATGTGTCTGCACGGACGAAGCCGAATAGCCTAGGATGGAGGCCAGGCCAGATCAGCAGAGTCCAGTTTTCCTTCTGTTGTTATGTGTAGTGCGCGATGCCCTGG